TTTTATATATGTAAGATTTATAATATAGAATTGTTTATTATGCTTATATTTCAAATACTGTTAGAGATTACATGATTTAGAAAATAGGTCAACTTGATTAATTGTTCTTATAACTCCCGTACAACTTTCCGCAGCTGCTTCCAAAAACCGACTCTTGCTATCGACTTCTTCCTATCGCCTTGCGCTATCGCCTTCTACCTTATATCGGTACATCTAACCGATAGTATCTTAAGATTAATGTCATGTATTATCCGCTTGATACCCTTACTCTTTACATTCGGCCCTCCTGCTCATATTCATCTGTCCCAGATGATAATATCTCATCGTTTTCAGATATAAAACGCCATAGCTTCATGTTGTCACTACTCGTTGCTGTGATGTTCGGCCCTTCAACGTTTGCCACCTTTCTGACGTCATAGCGACCGTTACGTTTTACATTGGTGACTTCATATGGGCCTATAACTCGCTGGCCAACTTGCGACCTGCGACGAACTGCGTCCTCTTGATTGCCACCATATCTCCCACTCTGTAGCCGTGCTCAGCTCAACTTTTTTTTTTATTGTAATTGCGCTTGTAGACCTCTTGTGCCTGCTCGATGTTGTGTCTCGCTTGGTTACGCAGCTCTTGGCGCTCGTTGTTAAACTGCGCAACCAACTCCTCGTTGAGTACCTCCAATAGTCGACTCTCAGCTTGGCTATGCATCTTAGTCCCAAACATGACCTCGAATGGCGACGACTTCAATGTTGAATGGATATGCGAATTAATCGCCATCTGGACCTGTGGCACATACTGTACCACTTCGAAGACTCCTGAACCGACAACTTAGCGATTATGCCCAAAATTGAACGGTTCACCCGTTGCCTCTGTCCGTTGCCTCTCGCCACACCTGTCGTTGTCCACACATGTTCGACTTTATTCTCGTTGAGAAACTCGCTAAATGCGTTGGATGTAAACGCTGCTCCTCTATCGCTGACTATGCGTTTGGGAAAGCCAAACACAAATGACCAATCTGTCAGCCTCTTCACAACTTCTTCGTATCCCGTTGACTTGGTTGGAAACAGCCAGACGAACTTGGAGAACGCATCCACCGCAGCAAAAATGTATTTATATTGCTTGGCTGTCACGTCCATTGGTCCCAAATGATCAACGTGCAGTGTGTGTAGTGGCGTCTCACCCTTGTCAATACAATGAAGATAGCCCTCCTGCTTGCCCAATTTTTTGCTGAAAATGATACAACTGATACAATTAGCAATAACATTTGCAACTTTCCTTTCAAGATGCGGGATCGAGTATTGCTGCTGAATTGAGTGCATCGTCTTCGCTGTGGAGAAATGACCAACTTCGTGCGATCCTTGAATGATTTCTCTTTCCATCAGCTTTGGGACAACCAATACGTCATTGCCATTCACAACTTTGAAGAGACCTCCTTTTAGCTTGTAGTCTTGGTATGGGTGCTGCTTCAGGATCTCTACTGTGACCATTTTGAAATCGTCATTCTGCTGCGCCTTCTTTATCCGAGCTGTCAACTCCGTTGTCACAACCATGCAAGTTTGTGGAAAACGGCTAAGACAGTCCACATGTCTCATTCTGTCCCCTAGGCGATGTACTGCTTTAAATGTGAAGTCCTCAATATACAGGATCCACTGGGAAACTTCTCTCGGTATGTCTGCTTTGGTTGTTGTCTGCTTAAACGCCACACAATCAGTAGCAAGATCAAATTTGATCCCCAACAGGTAGTGACGAAACTTCTTGAGTGCGAGGTATGCTGCTTTGACCTCCAAATAGTAGCTGTGACGCTTGGATTCAGCTTCTGTAGTCTTTTTACTCCAGTAGTAGACGGGATGGAAACTGCCATCAAACTGCTGCAATAATACAGCTCCGAAACCTTCCTTGGACGCATCCGTGTGGAGTTCCGTTGGCGCTTCTCGTGAGTAGATATGTAATACAGGTGCAATTACAAGAAGCTTCTTTCAGGTGTTTAGCGACTGCTGTTCTGCTTCGCCAATGTTGAAAACTGCTTCTTTCCTGAGTAGATTCGTGAGCGGCCGTGCAACTTGTGCGTACCCAGGAATGAACTTTCTAAAAAGCCTGTGAGTCCCAGAAACGCTTGAACTGCTTTGATATCCTTCGGCGTAGCAAACCGACTAACTGCTGCTGTCTTCTCAGATTTTCCCGTCCTCAATAATATAACCAAGAAAGTTAATGCGGGGCTGCATGAAGCTACATTTCTTCCACTTGATCTTCAGGCCAAATTGTGCAGCTGTATTTATAACCAATTTCGTTTTCTTCATGCAAAGCTCGGGCGACGCGGCGTAAACAATAATGTCCATATAAAGCTGCATAACATCAGAGTTGATTAATTCTTGAAAAATATAGATTACAAACCGAATAAACGCAGCTGGCGAGTTCTTAAATCCGAAAGGCGCTTTATTAAACTCGAATATTCCCTCTTTTGTGACGAAGGCCGTATGCGACTTGCTCTGCTCTTCGATTGGAACATGGAAAAATCCAATTTCAAGGTCCATTATGGTAAACCACTTAGCAGACTCCAGCTTTTCCAAGACTTCCTCCATGATCGGGACTGGGAAACAGTCCATCAATACCATGCTGTTCAATTTCCTGTAGTCTACACAAACTCGAAGTGTACAATCTTTCTTCTTCACGACTACAACTCGGCTTGCCACATTTGAAGATGACTTGCGTACGATTCCTTTCTCGATCCATTCTTCTACTTGATTCTTTACAGCGCTGGCTTCGTCTGTGGATAAACGACTCGGAGAGTGATGAAACGGCTTGATTACTCTGTCGGTAACTATTTGCAGTTGGATTGGGCACTGCTTTGGAACTTCTGTGGGCATCTGGTAACTGCTCTTTATCATCTGTTCAACGTCTGTGCGATATTGCGGTGGAGCTACAAAGGATGACTGTTCAGTTATATTATATATATTATTATTATTATTGTTATTATATATAAGAGCATACTTATCTATCGACTTGGGATCTTCGTCCAGCTTCGAAAACGTGTATCCTTTCATATCAGCGACGAAACGAAACTTTTTGATGAAATCGTGTCCCAACAGTGCATCGAAATCAATTTGGTTACTGGGTACGACTAGAAACTTCTGGTTAGTCTGCAACTTATCCACCGTAATCTCTGCATTAAAGTATCCAACAGGCTTCGTTGTTATATGGCCATGACCGCGCAACGTAGTTTTGCATTTTAAAAGTTCAACGTTTTTCATTCTCTTTAACACATTTTCTTTGATTATGGTTACATCTGAACCTGTATCTACAAGACAGTCGACTTCAATGCCATTTATCTGAATTTTTTTCATGCAATTGCGATCTGAAACAACTCGTACTGTATTAACTTTATCGGCTTCATATGGACAGATACGTGAAATGTGACCATTCTGATTACACTTAAAACATTTCGTTTCGGCTTTACAATCTTTGCGCTTGTGCTCTCCTGATCCACAATTATAGCAGTATTCTTTTTTACCGCCTGACCCACTTTGCTGTTTATAATTCGGTTTATGTTGTTCTTTATTGGCATTCTTCTCCGGTATGTTCAAACGCTCGTATATATCGAACTCTTCTTTCAAGGCTTTAAATGATTTACATCGATACATGGCATACTTGTACTCGTTTCTTATATCCAAACCGTTTACAATATGGCTTATGACAGCCACTTCTTCAACATGTCCAACTGCAGCTATTTTTCTCATCTGCAGCAAGTATTCGTGCAGCCACTCATTACTCCTCTTTTTTCTTTCTTGCAGCTGTTGATGAATTCCTGCACTATTGTAGTTAAATGTAAATTCCTCCAATAATACGAATTTGAGCTCCTCATAGGTGCACACGCTTTCAGCTTCTAGAAAAAGTTTAGCTGCACCGTTCATCTTTCCTCTGGCATGCACATACTTTTGCTTTTCAGTAAGCTCATATGCGTCGGCATTTTTTTCGAAAATGTCGAACCACTTTTCAATGGGGACCGATTTGCCATCACACTCACTCACAACTTTTCCAAAATTATCTGGAGCGACTTTCATTTGGACTTCTCGTTCCTCATCAGCTATCACTTTTAAACTTAGCAGCTTTATCATCCGATCAATTTTGTCCTCATCTTTGTTTTCCATATTCCCAACATTTTCCATCTCGTTTGCACTCTGGCGCGACGTTCCTGCTACAGCTTCTGCCATCTCCTTCTCTTTCCAATGCAGCGGCGGCGGCGTGTTCATCATTGTCTCCGTGGTTCTGCGTGTCTTTTCTGCCTGTGTCTGCGTGTCTCAACGCTTATTTTCTGCTTGTCTATTCTGCCTCTTCTGCCTATGTATGTGCACCACACCAACTGCCCAGTGGACCACAAGACGATAGTAAAGCGGAACTATCGCAAAATGTTCGTAAACGGACTTAGAAATGTAAAAATCCGTGAATGTTACTGAAGCTCGCCAAGTCCCAAGCGACTCAAAAAGCTAGCGGACAAAAGCGAACCGTTAGCAAACCAACGGCATTGAGTGAAACAGAAAGTAAAAAAGTATATAGCTAGCTACCGGTAAAGTCCGCTAAGTCGCGACTCAAAAAAGAGAATGAGCGAACAAGAAACGAGCGGAATATATTTCCCCTTTCATGACCAGTTTTCTAATTTTTAGGTCCGTTTGCGATCATTTTGCGATAGTTTAGCCGTCGCTCGCGGATTTTTTCGCTCAATGCTCTTTTTTGAGTCCGCTTGCGGACATTTAGCGTGGATAGCAACAAAAAGGTAACGGAAAAATAGGTAGCTACGGTCGGTGGATCGCAAACTGACTTAAAAAGGAGTACGATGCGCAAGAAACACCGGATGACGTCATCGACCAACAGTTCGTACCGATTTTGTCGCATGCCGAAGTGTTTTTTTGGCACACGACAAACGCCGAAGTATGTTTCGGCACGCGTCGCGTGTTCGGTTTCATCAATTTTTTCGTTTGTTCGTTTCTTTGTGATTGAAAATCTGGAGCAGACGGACGTGTTGACGACATAAAAGTGCAAATTGTGTGAAAAATCATAAAATCGGTAAGTACAAATTTTAATATCTTGTCTAGTTTTGTACTGTGAACAGAATTTAAGATTGGGAGCAAGCTAACAACAGAAAAAACACAATCTACACACATATGTCCACACATTTTGTTTTCCAGCCATCTTTCTGGAATTTTCTGCGAATTTACGCTGGAATTGACTGTGCGCTTAATTTTTCTACACAAAGGGAGTATAATTATTAGAAATGCCATTTAGACGTAAAAGCAGGAAATATATATGCGAATCGAAGCATATAAATAAATGTACAGATAGTATTAATACTAGTGAAGAACAGGCAGCTGATTTTAGTATTCCCACACCTTGTAGAGATTTTCCTAATTTGTCCGATGTTTTAGTTAAGAGTGCCGAACCAACTTGTTTTAGTACGCGCTTAGGGCAGTGGATGTCCGAAAAAAATATTAGCAAAAAGACCAGGTAATGGTTTGCTTCAGCTTTTGTCCGAAAAAATTCCAGGGTTGCCACGAGATGTTCGAGCATTGAAATGCACGCCTCGGGGGGTTATTAAAAGGGATGTGGCTCCGGGAAGCTATGTGCACTACGGTGTAAAAGATGCGCTAACTGATTTTCTCAGTAATTTTGCATTTCAAGCAGATAACCTAAGCCTCAAAATCAATGTGGATGGACTTCCATTATTTAAAAGTTCACTTAAACAAGCCTGGCCTATTTTAATTAATGTAAATGGCACTAAGCCAATTCTTGTAGCTGGGATATATGTTGGCAATTCCAAGCCCAGCAATCCCAATATTTATTTAGAAGAATTCGTGTGCGAGGTATTAGAATTGATTGAGGATGGGATACATTTTAAAGGTAGAAAACTTCACATTAGAATTAGATCCACTGTTTGCGATGCACCAGCGCGCGCAAAAATTTTAGGTGTTAGGCATCACTCTGGATTTTATTCCTGCAACAAATGCACTCAAAGGGGAGAAAGTTTTCAAAGGCGAATAGTTTTCAAAATTTCTGAGAACCTCTCTCGAACAGATTTTAGCTTTAGAAATCGTTTACAGCCAGAGCATCACAACTTACAGGAGAAATTAGTTTTAGAAAACTTTCCAATTGATATGGTCAATCAGTTTCCCTTCGATTATATGCATGTAGTTTGCCTTGGTATTATGAAAACTAGTAGTGCTTTAGTGAGAGTTAAAGGTCATCAATTTTCTTTGGATCGGCATAAAATCAGCTCAATTAGTTCCAAATTGATTTCTTTTCGTAAATTTATACCTAGGGAATTTAATAGAAAGCCGAGATCTCTTGATGATCTTGAAAGATTCAAGGCGACAGAATTCCGAACATTTTTGCTGTATACTGGACCCATTGTGTTGAAACAAACTCTAGACACAGCCCGTTACCACCACTTTTTATTACTTAGCCTTGGTATACGACTTCTTCTTCACAAAGAATATTGTGTTACTAAAAATGCACTTGCTTGCAGTTTACTTAATGATTTTGTAAAACAAATTCCCTCCTTATATATATTTTCCATGCTTACATTCAATTTTCATTGCCTAACGCATTTAAGCGCACAGTGTCTTGCCTTCGGCTCTTTAGACACGATAAGTTCTTTTCCATTTGAAAATTTTCTAGGTCAGTTAAAAAATATGGTAAAAAATTCCGATTTTTTAATAGAGCAATTGTATAATCGTATTGTAGAGCGAAGTATTTTGAAAGTTGTGCCTAAAAATAAAGCCTTGGATTTTAAAAACGTCACAAAGAAAATTTCCCACAATGATCCATTTTTTTATTTAAAAGTATCAAACAGTTTTTACTTTATTAAAGATAGGACTTCATACAACATTTATAAAATTTGTGACATTAAAAATAATACTTTGCATAGCCGATTAGTTGTTGATCTTGAACCTTTTTTTGTTTTCCCAATAGACTCCACACTTGTCGGCATATTTTCTTCACTGAATATTAATTACGACTGTAATTTAGTGCAGCATCCAATAGAAACAATTTTAGGAAAAATCATTCATATATTTGATACTGATGTGCACATTTACTTTCCATTAATTCATTACTTCCAGAAAGACATGAACAACTACACCACTTTATTTAACATGGATTCTGGCAGTGTCGCCAGTATCGAAAATATTCCAGAGACCCAGCAGCAATGTAAGTAAATCCATTTATATTGAATAAATAAATATTAACCATTATTTCTATTTATAGGTACAATGAATAAATTAGAGCAAAAAATTGACCTAATAATACAAAAATTAGACAAAAATACAACGGAACTGGTCGCTCTTCGCACGGAAATGTCCTCCATAAAGGCAAAGGTTTTTGGAGCTATCCAAAAAACTAAAGAGACCATGCCCAATGAGCCCTTAAGTTCAATAGGTGAACTGGAGAGCTTTGAAGAAAGTTTAAAGGAAGAAACAGTGTTTAAAAAGCTGGTAAGTATTTTTTTTTGCAGCTCACAAGTTACATTTGACTAACATATTTTGTAAAGATCTTAGACCTAGGCATGTCGAGCGAGAAAGCCTTTGATAAATGGATTAGGAGCACTTGGCGCTCGATTGTGTCGGACGAGGTCGCACGTCAGTGCTCTTGGCGTGGAACAGATGCCAAAAAGTGCATAAGGGGCTTGCGTGTGACCCAGCAATCCGCAGTAAGTTTTGTTTTAAAATTAATATTTATATTACAACATACTAACATCCAATTTGTTTCTTACAGTGGGATTTAAAGAAAGGTTTGCACTTGAGGATGCCGATTTTGATCGGGTGACTCAAAAATTCTTTCAATACGCACAGGATCGAGTTTTAAAGACTCAAAAGCTAATGAAAATTTAGATTCAAGTTTTTCTTTTTAGGTATTAATTTTTTTTCATATTGAAATATCCCCAGAACCGAGTGTTTAATTTTTCTTTTAAGTTTTTATACCCGTACTCAAAAAAGAGTTAAGGGGTATATTAGATTTGTAGTAAAAGTGGATGTGTGCAACGCAGAGAAGGAAACGTTTCCGACCCCATAAAGTATATATATTCTTGATCAGCATCAATAGCCGAGTCGATATAGCCATGTCCGTCTGTCCGTCTGTCCGTCCGTCCGTCTTGATGAGCGCCTGGATCTCAGAGACTATAAGAGCTAGAGAAACCAAATTTGGTTTCCAGACTCATGTGATATCACACTGCTACAAGTGTATTTCAAAATTTCGCCCCGCCCCCTTCCGCCCACACAAAGGACGAAAATCTGTGGCAGGCACAGTTTTAAAGATACGATAAAACTAAAAACGCAGTATCGTAGAGAATGCCCATATCTACCAGATTGCCGAATCTGAATCAGATCGGATCATAATTATAGCCAGAATGAAGAAATTAATTTTCAGTTGCTTCCCCTCCCCCTCCCGGCACGACAACTCAACTCATTTTCCTTCTCACTCGCACACTCTAGCGGAGGAGATGTAGAATCTAATTGGAACATGTACAATCTACATGTAAGATGTAGAATATACATTGTATATGTAGGTAGCTATATGTAGCAAAAAAATGTAAAATGTAAAATTTTTTTTTTCTAAAATTCTTAAAAATTATAATATTATTATAATATTAAAATATTAATTTTAAAACAAAACTTACTACGGATTGCTGGGTCACACGCAAGCCCCTTATGCACTTTTTGGCATCTGTTCCACGCCAAGAGCACTGACGTGCGACCTCGTCCGACACAATCGAGCGCCAAGTGCTCCTAATCCATTTATCAAAGGCTTTCTCGCTCGACATGCCTAGGTCTAAGATCTTTACAAAATATGTTAGTCAAATGTAACTTGTGAGCTGCAAAAAAAAATACTTACCAGCTTTTTAAACACTGTTGCTTCCTTTAAACTTTCTTCAAAGCTCTCCAGTTCACCTATTGAACTTAAGGGGTCATTGGGCATGGTCTCTTTAGTTTTTTGGATAGCTCCAAAAACCTTTGCCTTCATGGAGGACATTTCCGTGCGAAGAGCGACCAGTTCCGTTGTATTTCTGTCTAATTTTTGTAATATTAGGTCCATTTTTTGCTCTAATTTATTCATTGTACCTATAAATAGAAATAATGGTTAATATTTATTTATTCAATATAAATGGATTTACTTACATTGCTGCTGGGTCTCTGGAATCTTTATTTTCGATACTGGGATGCCAGAATCCATGTTAAATAAAGTGGTGTAGTTGTTCATGTCTTTCTGGAATTAATGAATTAAGGGAAAGTAAATGTGCACATCAGTATCAAATATATGAATGATTTTTCCTGAAATTGTTTCTATTGGATGCTGCACTAAATTAGAGTCGTAATTAATATTCAGTGAAGAAAATATGCCGACAAGTGTGGAGTCTATTGGGAAAACAAAAAAAGGTTCAAGATCAACAACTAATCGGCTATGCAAAGTATTATTTTTAATGTCACAAATTTTATAAATGTTGTATGAAGTCCTATCTTTAATAAAGTAAAAACTGTTTGATACTTTTAAATAAAAAAATGGATCATTGTGGGAAATTTTCTTTGTGACGTTTTTAAAATCCAAGGATTTATTTTTAGGCACAACTTTCAAAATACTTCGCTCTACAATACGATTATACAATTGCTCTATTAAAAAATCGGAATTTTTTACCATATTTTTTAACTGACCTAGAAAATTTTCAAATGGAAAAGAACTTATGGTGTCTAAAGAGCCGAAGGCAAGACACTGTGCGCTTAAATGCGTTAGGCAATGAAAATTGAATGTAAGCATGGAAAATATATATAAGGAGGGAATTTGTTTTACAAAATCATTAAGTAAACTGCAAGCAAGTGCATTTTTAGTAACACAATATTCTTTGTGAAGAAGAAGTCGTATACCAAGGCTAAGTAATAAAAAGTGGTGGTAACGGGCTGTGTCTAGAGTTTGTTTCAACACAATGGGTCCAGTATACAGCAAAAATGTTCGGAATTCTGTCGCCTTGAATCTTTCAAGATCATCAAGAGATCTCGGCTTTCTATTAAATTCCCTAGGTATAAATTTACGAAAAGAAATCAATTTGGAACTAATTGAGCTGATTTTATGCCGATCCAAAGAAAATTGATGACCTTTAACTCTCACTAAAGCACTACTAGTTTTCATAATACCAAGGCAAACTACATGCATATAATCGAAGGGAAACTGATTGAATCAATTGGAAAGTTTTCTAAAACTAATTTCTCCTGTAAGTTGTGATGCTCTGGCTGTAAACGATTTCTAAAGCTAAAATCTGTTCGAGAGAGGTTCTCAGAAATTTTGAAAACTATTCGCCTTTGAAAACTTTCTCCCCTTTGAGTGCATTTGTTGCAGGAATAAAATCCAGAGTGATGCCTAACACCTAAAATTTCTGCGCGCGCTGGTGCATCGCAAACAATGGATCTAATTCTAATGTGAAGTTTTCTACCTTTAAAATGTATCCCATCCTCAATCAATTCTAATACCTCGCACACGAATTCTTCTAAATAAATATTGGGATTGCTGGGCTTGGAATTGCCAACATATATCCCAGCTACAAGAATTGGCTTAGTGCCATTTACATTAATTAAAATAGGCCAGACTTGTTGAAGTGAACTTTTAAATAATGGAAGTCCATCCACATTGATTTTGAGGCTTAGGTTATCTGCTTGAAATGCAAAATTACTGAGAAAATCAGTTAGCGCATCTTTTACACCGTAGTGCACATAGCTTCCCGGAGCCACATCCCTTTTAATAGCCCCCCGAGGCGTGCATTTCAATGCTCGAACATCTCGTGGCAACCCTGTAATTTTTTCGGACAAAAGCTGAAGCAAATCATTACCTGGTCTTTTGCTAATATTTTTTTCGGACATCCACTGCCCTAAGCGCGTACTAAAACAAGTTGGTTCGGAACTCTTAACTAAAACATCGGACAAATTAGGAAAATCTCTACAAGGTGTGGGAATACTAAAATCAGCTGCCTGTTCTTCACTAATATTAATACTATCTGTACATTTATTTATATGCTTCGATTCGCATATATATTTCCTGCTTTTACGTCTAAATGGCATTTCTAATAATTATACTCCCCTTTGTGTAGAAAAATTAAGCGCACAGTCAATTCCAGCGTAAATTCGCAGAAAATTCCAGAAAGATGGCTGGAAAACAAAATGTGTGGACATATGTGTGTAGATTGTGTTTTTTCTGTTGTTAGCTTGCTCCCAATCTTAAATTCTGTTCACAGTACAAAACTAGACAAGATATTAAAATTTGTACTTAGCCGATTTTATGATTTTTCACACAATTTGCACTTTTATGTCGTCAACACGTCCGTCTGCTGCAGATTTTCAATCACAAAGAAACGAACAAACGAAAAAATTGATGAAACCGAACACGCGACGCGTGCCGAAACATACTTCGGCGTTTGTCGTGTGCCAAAAAAACACTTCGGCATGCGACAAAATCGGTACGAACTGTTGGTCGATGACGTCATCGGTGTTTCTTGCGCATCGTACTCCTTTTTAAGTCCGTTTGCGATCCACCGACCGTAGCTACCTATTTTTCCGTTACCTTTTTGTTGCTATCCACGCTAAATGTCCGCAAGCGGACTCAAAAAAGAGCATTGAGCGAAAAAATCCGCGAGCGACGGCTAAACTATCGCAAAATGATCGCAAACGGACCTAAAAATTAGGGAAAACTGGTCATGAAAGGGGAAATATATTCCGCTCGTTTCTTGTTCGCTCAATTCTCTTTTTTGAGTCCGCGTGCGCACATTTAGCGAGACTTTACCGGTAGCTAGCTATATATCCGTTTTTTTTTACTTTCTTGTACAGTTTTCACTCAATTTTAAGCCCGTTTGCAATAGTTTTGCGATACTTAAACGTGCTTCATGCTTTTTGTCCGCTAAATGCTCTTTTTTGAGTCCGCTTGCGGACATTGAGCGAGGCTTCAGTAACAATTCACGGATTTTTATCATTTCTAAGTCCGTTTACGAACATTTTGCGATAGTTCCGCTTTACTATCGTCTTGTGGTCCACTGGGCAGTTGGTGTGGTGCACATACATAGGCAGAAGAGGCAGAATAGACAAGCAGAAAATAACCGTTGAGACACGCAGAGACAGGCAGAAAAGACACGCAGAGACACGGAGACAATGATGAACACGCCGCCGCCGCTGCATTGGAAAGAGAAGGAGATGGCAGAAGCTGTAGCAGGAACGTCGCTGCACGAATACTTGCTGCAGATGAGAAAAATAGCTGCAGTTGGACATGTTGAAGAAGTGGCTGTCATAAGCCATATTGTAAACGGTTTGGATATAAGAAACGAGTACAAGTATGCCATGTATCGATGTAAATCATTTAAAGCCTTGAAAGAAGAGTTCGATATATACGAGCGTTTGAACATACCGGAGAAGAATGCCAATAAAGAACAACATAAACCGAATTATAAACAGCAAATGGGTCAGGCGGTAAAAAAGAATACTGCTATAATTGTGGATCAGGAGAGCACAAGCGCAAAGATTGTAAAGCCGAAACGAAATGTTTTAAGTGTAATCAGAATGGTCACATTTCACGTATCTGTCCATATGAAGCCGATAAAGTTGATACAGTACGAGTTGTTTCAGATCGCAATTGCATGAAAAAAATTCAGATAAATGGCATTGAAGTCGACTGTCTTGTAGATACAGGTTCAGATGTAACCATAATCAAAGAAAATGTGTTAAAGAGAATGAAAAACGTTGAACTTTTAAAATGCAAAACTACGTTGCGCGGTCTTGGCCATATAACAACGAAGCCTG